CACTTGATAAGCAATGTATTCTTTTGCAACTGATCTCCTTTATTTAAAAAAGTCTGTGCCAAGTAAAAGTCCTTAATTAAGTGGTGATGCAACTAATAAGTTCAGGTTTGTGAACTTTTTACTGTAGTCACATTGTTTGTATGAGAATGGGATAGTACACTTTTGTGTATGTCAAGGGCTCGAACTCTAAAGGGCACAGTACTTAATTTACTTACCCACCACCTTATAGGAAGACAAACCCGATCTACCATATCCTTATCAATTTTATCGCTTTCTTGACTAAAATATCAATTGTTAGTAAGAAATATGATTAATAAACCAAATACTTTGTGGGATTCTATTTCAGTCTAAATTTATGTATTTTTATAGATTATTTGGTAACAGTAAAATTCCACATGAACTGCAATTATTTCAGCAATACTAAGCATCTTTATTTCAGTTTCTTAACTGTTATACTTATGATTATGTCTATGAACCCTAATCTTTATTCACTGTTTGTGAATTTTTCCAATATATTAAAAGATTATTAGTTGTTTGGCCTTTATTGTTGCGCGATGTCCATCACTCAACGACTTATACACCCAGATTTCGGGTGTTTAATTCTGATTTGGAGCTCAGTTATATTGACACCATCGTTGCTGCTACCTTGAAGTGGTGGTTGGGCTTGCCTATCGTTATGAATCAGTCGGGCTATACTGGCTGGAACAATCGTTCCTCAAGGTCCTACCATTCTAGGCACATCGGTCGAGGAGCATTGAGACTAAAAGCAGCAGACCGGAGGTCCGAGAGCAAAGTCGTACCACTGACCACGGAGGTGTGACGGCAGTTAGGTGTTTCCCCCAGACAACCAGCATGACAGCGATGCTGTCTTCCCACAAAGAAGGGCGGGGTTAGAAAAGGTTGACTTTAAAAAATGCACATCTCACCCTTATCCCACGCATTTCCGTCTCCGGTGGTACGGTTTCAACGAGTACGAAGCCAGCACGAAAATTGCTCACAAAAGGGTCGCATGTGACCGGCTCTTCGATCAGCCAACAAATACATTGTTAATTATATGATGAAAAGATATAGATTAGTATTTTTTGCAATGATATTCATAATAAATCTCCCTCTTCAATTCCTATTATTCCTCCTACCTTGACTTTCAATTCTAAACTTTCTCGTTTTATTTCTTCCTCAAGCGTCACCATCACTAACGATTCTAGTGCACGAAATATTGTCCCAGGTCTACTGAAACCTCGCTCCACACTACACATTAGAGCCTTCGACGTATGCAACGTATGTCCAATCAACCAGCGGGCCTCCTTGGCTAAGACCCTAGAATCTCGTACGGTTGATGTATGCTATGACTCCGAAACACACATTCAGGATCCTGATGTGGTCATTCACTTGACCTCCCCTCGGCAAAACGGAGAGCCGACGAGATAAACTCTCCGTGTATCTGGCTATCCAGTGGCAAATTCTCGTGGACTGGCGGTTGTAGGCATAGCATTAAGTATTAGGGCAGAACAAGGACTCTTAGAATAAATCTCTGTTAACAGTCGCCTGTGTGCTGTTCGGCTAGACGGCTCCGTAAGAACTCGGGAGGATAGAAATACACGTTGTTGCCTTTTCGTCGTTTCTATCTACGCTCTCACTGACTGCAGCCCGGATGAAGTGAAAGGTGAACTTTACAGAAACCATACTGAAATTCTTCAAAAACCTAAACACTCAGACATAGTACTCGTAGCAGCTGACTTTAATGCCCAAGTAGGTAGCTTAAACCAAAAAGAAAGACAATTAGGTGGGTATTTCGGTATTCCGGCTCAGCGAACAAATAGTGGTGACCGCCTGCTGCAACTGCGCTCAGACGATCGTTTATTTTCAACAAGCACCAATTTCAAACATAGAGATATTGTCTAACAGGACGACCCTCTTCGCCAAACCAACGATGAACCCTATTGCCATCAGTCATCGTTGGAGAGGCTCGGTAGAAAACTGCCGCTCGTTCTGGAATACATTTTTAGGCTTTGATCATTCTCTAATAAGAGCACGTACTTAATTGCGCCACAATGGACGCAGAAAAGCCACATTAAGAAGACCCATTTCAGTCGAACTCAGCGATGAGAAAGCCAAAGGTAAATTCCGTGAACAACTGAACTCACACTTGGGCAATTTCGAAAACGAGGCTGACCCAGATATTGCTTGGGAATATATACGAACATCTATGGAAACAGCAGCGATAATCGTTGGTGATTTGAACCAAAATGTTACGGAAAACCATTGGATTTCTACTACATCCATTGCACTGATAGACTGTCATTAACCTATCCCATTAGGCTCTGAACACTATGATGAGCGAGAACAAATAAGATTTAGGTTGACCAAAAGTCTGCGGGACGATCATGAGCAGTGTTGGGCAACGAAAGCAGAAGAGAGGGAGAAGGCAGCGGCTGTAGGTAACAGAAGACAGCTTTTAAGACCGACAAAAAACTGGAATTAAGAAGTCGTGTGAGTGAGACATCGGAAAAAGACGACACCCTCTTCTGCTCTCAGTCCAGACGTTTAGAACGATGAGCGGGGGACATTTTAGAGAACAGTTCAGCTGGCCTTCAGTTACTCTACAACTACCCTCCATCCCCAGACAGTGTGAATGGGACATTGAAGTAAGTCCCCCAAATTTAGGTGAAGTTCAAAAGGCTATAGTTAATCTGAAACGAAGAAGGGCAGCTGGTCCAGATGGATTGGTTCCAGAAGTCTTCAAGGATGGTGGTCCAATTTTAGCGATTAGGTTGACCAATATTTTAGCTAAAATCTGGGAACTGAATGTAATCCCATCTGACTGGTCGAAATCACTGATCGTCCCAATATATATATATAAAGGATCAAAATTATCCTGTGATAACCACAGAGGGATTAGTTTAACTAATATAGTATCTAAAATACTAGCCTCTATAATTATCGGGCGCCTAACTAAGACTCGTGAACTGCAAACACGAGAGAATCTGGCTGGCTTCAGAACTAGTCGTGGCTGCATCGACCACATATTCACCATTCGTCAGGTTCTAGAACACAGGCATACCTATCGGCGTCCGACAATGGTGGTCTTTCTTGACCTAAAAGCAGCATTTGACTCGGTAGACCGCGAGATTCTGTGGCAGTGTCTATCATTGAAAGGCGTACCTCAGAAGTACATAAACCTTGTGAAGGCTCTTTACTCGAACACTACCAGTCGAGTCAGAGCGTATGGCGAACTGTCATCTACTTTTGCAGCCTCAAGTGGTGTCTGTCAAGGCTGTCCACTTTCTCCATTTTTGTTTAACTTCATCATGGACCTACTGATGGAAATAACATTCTCGTCTACTGAATTCTCGGGCATTGATCTCCTTCCAGTAGGTCCACTTATCGACTTAGAATACGCAGATGACATAGTCCTGTTTGGGAAAGACGCTGATAAAATGCAGAGTCTTCTGGTAGCACTGAGCAACAATGCCAGAATGTTTGGAATGTGCTTCTCTCCCTCTAAATGCAAGTTGTTGCTTCAGGACTGGTCTGCGTCAACACCCGAACTAAGGATAGGGAGTGAAGTAGTCGAACGCGTCGACAACTTCACTTATTTTGGGGATCTGATCAGCCGTAATGGGTTGGTGTCTGACGAAATCTCAGCACGGATTCGAAAAGCTCGCTTGGCTTTTGCCAACTTACGTCACCTTTGGCGGAGGCGAGATATCCGTCTATCAATAAAAGGACGAGTATACTGCGTGGCAGTTCGTTCTGTTTTAATTTACGGCAGCGAAACATGGCCCTTAAGAGTAGAAGACACCCGTAAGCTACTAGTATTTGACCACAGATGCCTTAGAAATATTGCTGGCATCCGCTGGGATCACCGGATAAGTAATAGTGAGGTTAGACACAGGGTATTAGGGAATGATGGTAAATCAGTTGATGAGGTTGTGAATCTTCATCGACTGAGATGGTTGGGCCACGTACTATGTATGCCTGAACACCGATTACCACGACGTGAAATTCTAACCGGGGTTGGAGATGGTTGGAAGGAAGTTAGGGGTGGCCAAACCAAAACGTAGCATCATTCCTTGAAGTCAGTGACGTCTGGTCTGAGCCATGTTGGTGGATGCGAACTACTTGGTTAGGGTCCACGCGACTATCGTAACCAATGTTTGGGGATTCTGGGTGATATGGCTCAGAATCGATCACAATGGAGTAGGTGTATACACTCTTTGTCTTCCCTTAAACCGAGAGATTAAAATTACTTCGTACCTGTAATATATGCTTATATACAATATTTCTTTTATATATTACTAACATGAAAGTAACTGCTTCTACGAATTTGGTGTTCATGTTGTTATGCTAATGAGGCATGGCAACGTAGACCGATGCATATATGTTCCTGGTCTGACGTTGTAGCTGACTGATTCAGATTCACGTGTCCTGGTTTAGGCTTCCGATCATAAATGTAGCCCACGAGTCAGTGCATTGTCATGTGTCAGTTTAGTGAATTCGGTTAACTGGGGATTTGATATGACTAGATCAAATTGGCTTGCTAGTATGTCAATATTTGAGTCCGATTTCAAATTAAAAGATTTCTTTAGGAATTTAACGATGTAGCTACTCGATAAAATCACAATCCGAAGTGTAATCGAAATACTAAAGAACAGTTTTTTCATTTCACAATATGCTCATCAGTGATTCACCTTGACGTATATAACTCAAGCTGTTAATATTTTTCGAATATGGGCAATTAACTGAAGAGAACAAACTACCAAAATTTACTGATCATTGAATTACAAGTGTATCGCTCAACATGTTCTATTTCTCTATTTTTCCGTATCACAAATCACCTTCTAGTATCCTGACTGGACAGTTTCCAGCGGGATCTTTTGATTAATTACCACCCATATTATCACTGTTGAAACTGACTGTATCTGCAAATAATTTACAATTTGTTAGTTTTATTTGTTTCCAATTTAATTAACTTTTTTTTTCAAAAAATTTCGATTTCAGACTTTCTAATCGTTGTTTTTGTGCTCATTCAGTAATCTTTCTGATTTAAATACAATGCATATCACTCCATAAACCTTCCGGACCCTGATATTTAATTTTACGTTTAAAGACATACAGTATGAGGTTTATACAGCTAATAATTGGCTGTGAACAATGTGTTTACTGTTTTTCCTGACTTTATTTATTCAGTATACTCTGAGAATAGGTAGTGTGTTTCGTGATATTTCAAAATGTTTTTAGAATCTGATGTATTTTCACAGCTTGAACAATATGAGTTATTTGAGAGACCATCCTTTCGTATCGCTCGAGATATTAGTGGACGGCAGACCAGGCAAACTGTATTTTATGCATGGGGAAGGTAAGTATTGTTTTTTACTCATTCCTCTAGATCATGGTATTTGGTTCTTCATCGTGAAACATCGTTTCATAATTCTAACTTGTCAGTCAGATTTATCAGTACAAATGGTACCTACTCTTTTTATCCGAAAACAAAATATGCAGAATTACATACTGGCTATGTATCAGGTTCAAACCAATCATTTGTGTTAGCTCATTTGGAACCATACACTTCACTACTTAGCGCTCATATTCATATGGAATCAGATATTTTTGTTATTGAGGTAAATTATAGTATATTAATTATTATTCTTAGCCATTGTCTGATTACACAAGCTATATTGGAAATAATTCTATGTTAATGTATCGCCTAAAAGATATTCAGTTTAAAAAGATACTAAAGTAAGTGTTTGATTTCCTTTCTCTGACTTGTTGTTAACTTCATTTTAGTAAGTCGATGAATTATAAATCAGCCACTTTATTGGCCCTAGAAACTGATACATTTGGTTAGTTAGTGGTAGTTTAATTACACTTAAATCTGATAAAAGAATCTTTTTTTAAAATATACACGCCACTTCATATATAAGCTAAATAATAGGCTATTTTTAAATTGACGAGTTATCTTACTGTGTAGAGTTTTTTCATTAGGATCATGTTAGTGTATACTTTTAAATTTTTTTATGATATGATATTATGGGCTAGAACTAGACCTAACACTCAGGATTTAATTAATTGGAGATTGAGCCGCACACAAATTGACTTTATCCAATCGTTTATGTCATTTAATCATGTTATTTTCGCATAGATATTTTGTATATAAGCTCGCTTTTTTACTATATAAAAAACCTATTCTTCTGGATAATGGGCTTGTCTTTGACCCTGACTGATTCGAGGTCTTACGTTGATAGTTTGATCTCGTAAACAGCTATCACTCGGGGACTTCATCAATCCATGTCATCTATCAACCGACATCCTCTTTGATTTTAACAGTTGAAAATTCGTTCATAAAATCATAAAATCCTATGTCATAACGAGTAATTATATCATTTTTGCTCCCCAGTATGTCTGTGTTTTGGTAAATATACCTTGCTGTCAGTCTCCACACCGGTTTTCACTTGAAAAGGATTTGTTTAGCCTCCTCATATTTTGTTCCCACTCTACGTCTTCTTGTTCTCTATAGCAGTTTAAGAAAACCGTTCACTAGTGAAATGACTACAGCTTGGTGCTACAGGGGTTTGACGCAATCAATAATTATTTGTTCTGCATAGTAATGAGTGTAGCCTATTTTTGTCCATGGAGTTGTGATAGTTGACCTAATAATTTACATGATTATCAATCTGGACCATCTTTCGCACTGTCATTATGTTGTTTTGCCTATGAAAGGTCGAACAGACGACACTTCGGTCAGACCAGTTCTGACCTATGTTCATGAAACGTTTCCTCTTCGAACTGAATATGGTTAACGATCCTGTCTCTGATCATCGTTGTCTCCTATGGATTGTTAACATCCAGTGGCAACACCACGTAAGTAATGTTGAGGTCCAGTAGTATATTTGATTGCAGTCCAACTATCTTAAAGCATCGAGACTATCGGCTTGGGCATGCGTTACGAATGACATCCCAGGGACCTCCATATCATGCATTATTTCCCGACGTTTGGAATGTGTGGGAGAAGAGCAGAAGTGGTAAGTTTATGATATGGTACCTTGGCATAAAAGCTAGTTATGTAAGACCGTGACCTGTCCATCCATGACTTCCTAGTCCTGGAGATCATAAAAACCGAACTTGAGACATCATCATATATGTCAGAAAATAAACCCAGTAGCTATCATTCTGTTAGTTGCTGGAATTTATAGAATTAAGATAAACCCTTTTAAATGAAAGGACGTATCTCAGTTGTATTTTCAACTAAATTAAATCTTATTTTGTTAACCACTGTTCGCATTCATATTTTCGTTAACTGTAAGGCTCTTTCCTCCTCTTTTCTTCACAACTTTAAACCGATGCATGTTTGTGACCTGTCGCAAGCTGTTTTTCTGTCAGTATGTGTCACTTGTTCACGCAGTTAATTATATCATTACTGTAACTTTGTACCACTTCTCTTCGTTAGACTGTATCTAAAGGCGTTTACGCACAAACCCTATTTATCAGAGTTACGAGCAGCTATTATTGATTAATAGTCGATGTAATATGACGGTCATACTTGTCATAGATACCCATTCGGTACATATTAGCTGACATTACTTGTTTGATATTCACATTTTCTGTGGTGAATCCATTAAGGACAAGTGACTGCATAACTGTCTGTAAATTTGTGGGACAAAGGTACGTTTTTAATTAAGTTACATAAATAGTTAGTGTTCTTATCCATTTCAAACGTTTCTGTTGCACTAGACATTAGCTTATATCAGTCTTTATGCCAGATATGTTACACCTGACAGATATAATATGTATCTCAGGTCTTAGTTCCTAGAAAACTACATTTTATCAGTGTTGTTGCCAAATGCTATGCGTCTTTCTATTAGTGTTATGAAGAGTTGTTCATATACAGTAGATTGAGAATGAATTTTACGATCATTGAGTCTCAGTATCTGTTTATTTGCAATTTTTCGGTGAACCGATTATCAATTTGTCTAATTCATTATTTTTTTGTAGTTTATTAATTGAGCGACCAATTTACTGTTCACCAAGTTCTGTTTCAATTTCCATTCTCTTTTTTTACAGATGTCTATATTAGACGAAAACGTTTCAACCCCATACAATCACAGCGCAAACTTTGTCGCCTTACACTCGTCGCTGATTACGATTTTTTTACTAATTTGGGAAATAGAAATGGACCTAAAACTATCAGTCATGTTGTTAGTTTTTTTATTATTTGTTATCATGTTAATTTAACAATTTACATTCTTTTACTAAAGATTAAAGTATTTGACCGGTTAAATTATCTGTTTCTTACTTCAAAATTTTTGGATGATAAGCATGATGAAATGATTGGCTATGGCTTTTTATTACATGAGGTAAGTGTGTGCCAACTTTGATTACTACTATTACTATTATTATCACTATTGTTATTGCTATGTAATATTATCATTCCCCTATTTGACCTTAGTTGGTACTCTTTTCTCTCAACACTATAGATCGTAATCCATGAATCATGGACAGCTGATCACGGTCACTATAATTCACCAACTGATTTAGGTGGGAAAATCTGGACAGCTACATCCCTGTTGCGTGTAAGTTTTTGATAAATATTTATTTCGAAATATATTTCGTTGACATCATAGAGGTTCCTTTTATTTAATATTTATTGTGATAGAAGAGTATTACTACATGAGTAGACCACACGTTCATTTACGTATTTTCACATCAAAAATGAAATTGAACTCGACAAATTAGTCAGATAGAAGTCCATTTCTATAAGATTTAGTTTTCACGAAACAAATTTATCGTAAATTTGGTTTTCAAATGGCCACGACTACATTTGACCAACTGTATAGTTAAGAACACGACTGACATTGAAAGTCCTAAAACTCATGTAGTATATTTCCACTCAATATTATAATCTAAAGTCAACTGGATGGTACAATGAAATAGCGTCTCACTAGTTAATCTATATTTAATTAGTTGAGCTGTATATTAAGGTCAGAATAATATACTGTGACAGATTTCACAGAAATATGCAAATCCTATATAATTTTTCTTCAGTTAAAAATTAAGAGAAGTCACTTAGGGAATCAAACAATAAAACAATGCTGGTAAGTAGATGTTACCCATTTTGTTTCTCAGCTTATTATCCTTAATTACCAGAATTGAAGTATTATTATTATTATTATTATTATTATTATTATTATTATTATTATTATTGTTATTGTTATTGTTATTACTATCTAAACACATAAACATTGTTACAGAGAAGCACCAAATATATGTGTCGCACACATTAGTTATCATTTAATTTGCGTGTGGGATGAGACATTACCCGGGCACCCAAAACAAAGCGAGTGGTTTCCTCAAAGTGTCACAAGCCTTTGACATAAAGGTCTAATCTACAAGGCAGTAGAGAAACATTAGATGTAGTCCCATGATAGCCAATGGTCAAGGTTAGGTTCATATACCATTTTTTCCTCAGGATCCTGTAATCCATGTACCCCATTAGTTTGGATTCAGGGCTTTCAAACTCTTCTAGATGGGTCTTCCTTATCCACCAACCCGGTTTGAGCGCCGGACATTCGCTTTTCTTCCTTTCAATTTTGTAAACAACATTCCTCTGCGGTGCCTAGAATCTTATATAAAGACACATCCACTTGGAAATATGAGTATATGATTACTATTGACATTCAGATGCGATTAATTACTTGTGCTCATTATTACAAACAATATAAAACAATTAGAAATCAATTCTGTATTAGGTGGAAAAAGATCTTATTATTTTAATTTTGTGATTCTAACTCGAGATTTTGTAGCGATGTCTTTATGCTTCAGACCGCGAATTTAAGACCTCATGGATGCTCACCATGTTTCGATGTGTTCGTCATAGGACTTCTTAAGTCGTGGTCTTGCTTTACCATTCGCTCAACTGTTGTGCTGATGCTTAATCTCATCAATCAGTTTACTCTTCTTTTAAATTATTTCTAGTGGCTTGATGGTTTTAGTATTTGCAGATTACTCTTAGGAGATGTTGTAGAATGTGTAGTGTTAAATAACCTTTCAGTATACCCAAGTTTATACTTTAATCTTATCGGTATTTAACGAAATACTTTATTTGCTTTACTCAAATTTCCCCTAGGCATTTAGTCGATTCGATGCGAAACAGTCTTGTTTGGCTCATTTACTTAGCTACAAAAGAATAGATGAAGGCATTTTAGGGATGTCTTGGTTGGCCTCCCCGGATCCAAAGAAGTTAGGCGGTATTTGTTCCCCACCTCGTAAGTCCTTAATTTTTTAGTCCTATTAATTAATGCATTCTTAACACGAAAATCGGTCACCTAAATCTCAACAGAATATCCGTTTAGGTCTCTTGGGTTTTGATGATGAAATCTGCAACTCATATTCTTATCTGTTTTCAACTGTCAATCATAAACAAAGTAGGACTTAGCGCATTTGTTCATCGTTTCAAATGGCCATACCGCACCAGCGGAGAGAGATTAAATTATCAGTACGAATATCAGAGTAGTAGAAGTAGTAACATAATCAGTGATAATAGAAAACATTGGGGATAATTAATATAAATCAGGAAGAAAAATAGATGCGTAAGATAGATAATAAACGGTTATTTTGAAACTCAAGGTCTAAGAGAAGACGAAAAGTAAATATATTTGCCCTAAAAGTGCTTCTTAACAAGTGGTAGAGTTCAAACATAATTTGTTGACAATATGATGATATTTTATTGTTTGCACTCTACAATCAATTGCTGTAAAGAATATCCATCACAATCTATTGCAAATAATCTCCCTCTTTATTTAATTTTGTCATAGATGCTTTCTTCTAAATAACACTTTCCTCACCTAACTTTTCAGGGGTTGAACTATTATCAGGAAGTTCTCGCATAGACTTAAAATATGCAGGCGATACAGTCCCATTCATTAAATAAAATGATACTGACCAACTTAAGCAACAAAGGAAACATGCTTGGGGTGCGTTTCTTTCCCATTAAATAAAAAAGTTTGCTTCAAGATTGGTCTGCGTAGATGCCTGTGGTAATGAGAGGGAGTGAAGTAGTTGAGTGCGTCTATCACTTCACTTATTTTGGGAGTTTGATCAACCCTGGCGGGTTGGTGCCTAATAAAATGTCGGCACCGATGCGGAAGAGTTGTCTGGTTCTTGCAAACTTGCGTCAGATGTGACGTAGGCAAGATATTGGTCTACCAGCTAAAGTACGATTTTGATGCACAGTAGTTTACTCCGTTCTGTTTTACGATTACGAAATGTGGCCTTTAAAATTTGAGGATATTATTTGGTTACTAGTGTTTGACTATAAATATCTTCGAAGCATTTCTCGTATATGTTAGGACCCTCGGATTATCAATCCTGAGGTTAGATGCAGAGTGTTTCGGAGGAATAGCAGATTGATTGATGAGGTAGTGAATCTTTATCAACTGTAATTGAAACATCTCTGTAACCGAATTCTGACTACGCACTACCGTAAACCCCTAATGAATTGAGATTAACAATGAGAACAATAGTCAATGAACCAACCTTTTATCTAATAAAATAATATACTTGTATACTAAATATTAGCACAAAAATAAATGACAAAGCGATTAAAAGTTATCAGCTTTTTAGATCACTTTGTTTACAACAAATTAATACCTAACTGTCAGGTCATTATATTATGGTCGATCGTCCCTAATTGGTGAGGCATTATAGATTTTGCCGTAGAAAACGTGTTTTAAATGTTTTCACAATCAATCTCAATAGATAATTATACATTAAGTTTAGAAGAACGGTATAATGCTGAAGTAGTAAGCAAAAGGTAGTATCAGAATAAATGAATTATTTTACAAAATACCGAGAGAGTACCATCTGTAGGTTGGTTTAGTAATAATATTATAATTCTAACTCGCTTATAAAGCAGATTTTAATTCATTTAGTTTTTTTGTGGCTTACTAAATAATATTTGGCTCTCTAAATTAAAGTAAAATGTGACTCTAACTTGTTGGTTAATATTTGAATGCTTTAACAACTAATGCGCCACTCTACATTATCAGAAATTTTGTTTTGTAGGGTTATTAATCATTTGCCAGCATACCGTAAAGACAACTAAACTATATAAAGAATTTTATTGTACCATATTCTGTCTCTCTCCCCCTCTCACTATATATATATATATATATTGGGACGATCAGTGATTTCGACCAGTCAGATGGGACCAGCTGCCCTTCTTCGTTTCAGATTAACTATAGCCTTTTGAACTTCACCTAAATTTGGGGGACTTACTTCAATGTCCCATTCACACTGTCTGGGGATGGAGGGTAGTTGTAGAGTAACTGAAGGCCAGCTGAACTGTTCTCTAAAATGTCCCCCGCTCATCGTTCTAAACGTCTGGACTGAGAGCAGAAGAGGGTGTCGTCTTTTTCCGAAATAGTCTGACTTACACTTGACTTATTAATTCCAGTTTCTTTTATTAGTCTGTAGAGCTGTCTTGTGTTCCCTATAGCCGCCGCCTTTTCCATCTCTTTTGCTTTCGTTGCCCACCACTGCTCATGGTCGTTTCTTAGACTTTTGCTTATCCTAGATCTGATTTGTTTACGCTCATAATCGTGTTCAGAACCTGATGGGACGAGTTTACGAGAATCCATCAGTGCAACAGACCTTGAGGAAATCCACTGGTTCTTTGTAACCCTGTGGTTTAAATCACTGATAGACGTCAGTGTTGTTGCCAAGCAAAATCTGGATCAACCTCATTTTTAGAACTACCTAATTGTGACCTCAGTAGTTCCTGGAACCTACTTTTGGTTTTCTCGTTACTCAATTCAGTTCTAATTGGTCTTTTTAATGTGGCTTTTTTGCGTCCAGTGAGGCGCAAGCAGATGCGTGCCCGTGTCAGGGCATGATTGGAGTCCAAGCGGGTACTCCAGAATGGGCGACAATCTTCTACCGACCCTCTCCAACGATGACTGATGGCAATATGGTTTATTTGAGTCCATCGTTGGTTTGGTGTAGGGGGTCGCCATGTTAGACGATGTCTCTATGCTTAAAATTTGTGTTTGCTAAAAATAAACGAATGCCTGAGCACAGTTGCAGCAGACGATCACCATTATCTGTTCGTTGTGCCGGAATACTAAAATACCCATCTAAATGCCTTTCAGTTTGGTTTATATATATATATATATATATATATATATATAAAGGATCAAAATTATCCTGTGATAACCACAGAGGGATTAGTTTAACTAATATAGTATCTAAAATACTAGCCTCTATAATTATCGGGCGCCTAACTAAGACTCGTGAACTGCAAACACGAGAGAATCTGGCTGGCTTCAGAACTAGTCGTGGCTGCATCGACCACATATTCACCATTCGTCAGGTTCTAGAACACAGGCATACCTATCGGCGTCCGACAATGGTGGTCTTTCTTGACCTAAAAGCAGCATTTGACTCGGTAGACCGCGAGATTCTGTGGCAGTGTCTATCATTGAAAGGCGTACCTCAGAAGTACATAAACCTTGTGAAGGCTCTTTACTCGAACACTACCAGTCGAGTCAGAGCGTATGGCGAACTGTCATCTACTTTTGCAGCCTCAAGTGGTGTCTGTCAAGGCTGTCCACTTTCTCCATTTTTGTTTAACTTCATCATGGACCTACTGATGGAAATAACATTCTCGTCTACTGAATTCTCGGGCATTGATCTCCTTCCAGTAGGTCCACTTATCGACTTAGAATACGCAGATGACATAGTCCTGTTTGGGAAAGACGCTGATAAAATGCAGAGTCTTCTGGTAGCACTGAGCAACAATGCCAGAATGTTTGGAATGTGCTTCTCTCCCTCTAAATGCAAGTTGTTGCTTCAGGACTGGTCTGCGTCAACACCCCAACTAAGGATAGGGAGTGAAGTAGTCGAACACATTGACAACTTCACTTATTTTGGGGATCTGATCAGCCGTAATGGGTTGGTGTCTGACGAAATCTCAGCACGGATTCGGAAAGCTCGCTTGGCTCTTGCCAACTTACGTCACCTATGGCGAAGGCGAGATATCCGTCTGTCAATTAACGGACGAGTATACTGCGTGGCAGTTCGTTCTGTTTTACTTTACGACTGCGAAACGTGGCCATTAAGATTAGAAGACACTCGTAAGTTACTAGTCTTTGACCACATATGTCTTATAAATGTTGCTCGCATCTGGTGGGATCATCAGGTAAGTAATAGTGAGGTTAGACACAGGGTATTAGGGAATGATGGTAAATCAGTTGATGAGGTTGTGAACAATAACGAAGAGATTGGTGTAAGTTAGTGTGGTAGTAATGAGGGAATGGAAAAGTACAACCGGAAGAAATCTTTCAGGTAAGGGAGACACAACCACTTTTTATGAAGAAAGTAAAAGGTTACAACAGGATCGCCACTGGTTTCTATTCTGAGCCATATCTGATAACGTCTCTAGCCACTGTGTAGCACCATCTCTCGGACCCCAACCAGGGGGTCTTGAAGGACCAACACAACCAGTCCTTTGCAAATTTCTTTCATGCCACGACACCATGTCATATACTGACCACCTCTCCGCTCCTTCCAACCAGTCTCAGAGTCGGCAAATAATGCACGACGTGGAATTCTCTGGGACGACATTCGTAGAACATGTCCAAGCCACCGAAGTCGGTGTTTCAAGATGGTGACACCAATTGCATTATCGTCTCTGTGCCCGAACACACGATGCCGAACCTCTGCATTACTGACATGATGTTGCCACTGGATGTCAACAATCTTTCGGAGACAGCGATGATCGAACACAGAAATTCGTCTAACATCCTCAACTCGGAGAGACCAGGTTTCACAAGCATGGAGCAAAACTGCTCTCACCGACGCGTTGTAGATGCGATCTTTTACAGCCAGACTAACATCACGAGGGCGCCAAGGATGGTCCAGATTGGTATAAGCCGCTCTGGCTTTCACTATGCTTGCACTGATCTCATCACTCACGCTACCACCAGCACTTATGCAGCTACCCAGATACACGAACTTCTCGACTACTTCTATCTGGTCACCATCCAGGGTGAGTACAGGATTGGAATCCTGCCAGTCTTGTAGAAGTACTTTGCACTTCGAAGGTGCGAAGCACATACCATACCTACGGACACTGCCAACTGATTGAGTGCGGATTGCATGGCTTGGGCATTATCGCACAGTAAGAGAATATCATCCGCATACTCAAGGTCGAGAAGTCTTTCTCCAGGCAACAGATCCACACCACCATTACTTACATTCATCAGAG